ATCATAAATGCAAAAAAAATATAGTGCTGCACCCTGTTGGTAAATCTTATAACATTTTAATGCTTTTCCATATCATAGAACAAACTTTTTTTGTTGAAACAACTGACTAAATTCTTTAATTCCCTTTAAATATGAATACTCATAAGGTTAACATGGGGAATTACAGAGCCACTGGGGCGGAGCCCGAAAGGATTTTTTAAATAAGAATATGCCTATATGTTAATCGGGAATGTAAGCTATCATCATGCCAAATTTCAGCCCAATCCGTCCAGTGGTTTATGCGTGATTGAACTTCAAACACACAAACAAACAAACAAAGACACAAACTCCTAGTATAATAAGGCAATCTGGCAAAAAAACAAAAAAACAAATACTGCAAAGATTAAAACAACCTACTCATTTTAAAAACAATCTCTCATTTTTCCTACTTAAATCTTGGAAGAGTGGTGTCTTGTTACTGCGAATTAACAACTTTTATAATCTCTACCCGTTGTAAGTTCCATTGGACGCAAGCCGCAAACTAATGCAAAACATATTCATGAGTCTTTTGTTTACCCTCTTACTTTAATTTGTCTGACGCCTGGAAAATGCTTCCTGTTTCAATCTAAATATTTAATGCCATCAACGTAACTGCTTCAGACACTTACTTTTAGTAAATGACGCTTCAGCTTGAGAAGTTTATAATATCATAAGAATGAAGGTTATTTATAACCGTTATACACTTTCTCAGTTTTTGTGTGCAAATTGGATATCTGACTGTATCATTTACTTACAGGAACATTTTAAGTACTTTATGTTTTCAATGCATTTACTTGCTTATAGTATCGCAGGTGATACGTATCAAGCAAATCATTATCCCAGAAATTATGAATAATGTTTGCACCAAAATACATATTAGTTATAGGAAACCAAGCAATTAACCTCTAAATATTCTAAATTTATTTCCAAAGGCTTTTACCGCCACTCGTGAAGCAAGTGAAATTAATCACATTGTTTTATATATACATGTTTATTTGGGTATATATACACACATACATACATACATATGCATATATGAGCAGCTAAGTTTATATTTACATATTTTTTTCAATATTTAACTTTTAAAATTGAAAAGTAATCTCTGCTTGGAAATTGTAATAAACATCAAAATTTTAAATTGGTATGCAGTGTTGGTTGTAGCGTTGTAGCATGTATTTTTCTGAATGTAGGCTATAGGCTACTACACATTTCATACTTCGTATTTCAAGAAGGGGACATATGCATTTTAAAGTTGAGTTTATTTTAAAAGTAAAACTCTAAGGGTTGGCAAATAATTTATTATTACTACATAGTAAATACAAATACAACGTAAATTTAATTTATTTCAAGAGTAATCTTATCTTACTAATATTATAAATGTGAAAGTTTGTGTCTTTGTTTGTTTGTTTGTTTGTGTGTTTGAAGTTCAATCACGCATAAACCACTGGACGGATTGGGCTGAAATTTGGCATGATGATAGCTTACATTCCCGATTAACATATAGGCATATTCTTATCTCAAAAATCCTTTCGGGCTCCGCCCCAGTGGCTCTGTAATTCCCCATGTTAACCTTATGAGTCATCAAGGGAGCCTTGACAAGAAGAGTCATCTGCATACCAAACTTGAGATGTGTTCGGCATTCTTTTTAGTCAGTTCTTGTAGGAATAGAAGTGTTGCCAGACCATATAATATCATTGATAGTGGATCTCTTCTTGACTATGCAATCTTTAATTACTTCCTTGCAAAATTAAATCCGAGCTGCATTGATAAGTATTATAAATGAATCTTGCAGCTCTTGGCTACTGGACTTTTTGTTTTCCATAAAGCATGAATTCTGTTTATTTTGTTGGAGGCATTATCTGCGTCTAACAGGATCACACACCATTCTTTGTTGGTATTACTTTGCTTACTATATTGCGTTCGCATGAAATGTGTTCGTCCCTCTATGCCAGATTTGAGACCTCCACAAAGTTGATATGTACCTAATGTTTGTTTTGCATCATCACTAAAAGCTAAAATAATTTATTTGGCCAGAATGCGTCTGAGACATTCTTCTATCCCAATGGGCCTCACACCTGGACATTAATTTGTCAATTACAATGAGTCTATTTGCCATCAGAGCTCTTATGGTGTGCCATGGTACTCCTTCTCCAATTAATTTCATTGCCAATGTGGCTATGGCTGTTTTTAAATAAGTACTTTTTTGTCCATGACGCAATAAGTAATCTGTCCAATTTTCGGATGAACTTCCTCCTGGACTTCCACTACAAATGAAGTTTCCTTGCTACTGTATTGTTTTTCTACATGTTCTGCTGTCATTTCTGCATTTTCAAGCTTTGGAATTTTGTCCATGCCATCTGGTAATTTTAGTAAATTAATGTCAGGAGTTATAGCCTTAAATTTTTTTTCTTTTAATACATCATAAATGGTGTACGGGGTATTATCAATAGTTTCTTCCGGTTTAAGTAAACCACCTATATTATTTTTATTTATCTGTCTTGAGTTTTACTTAATTTTAGCGAATTTCCCATATAGGGAATAAGCTATTACCGTAGGTCTCATGGTAAGCCCTAGACCCGGGGCCGATTTATTTTTTCGTTTTGAGGTCCCCAGAGGCCAAAAACACCATCCGTTAAAATTCATATATATATATATATATATATATATATATATATATATATATATATTTATATATGTGTCCGTTAGCGCGATAACTCGAGCAAATATGATCAGATTTTGATGAAATTTGGTACAAACATGTAAACCTACGTTTATTCTAACGAGTTCGCGAACCAGCATAATCAGACCATAGGAACAGGGGTTTATGTGGGGTTTTATGGGGTGAAAATGAGTTTTTCCCATTTTTAACCCTAAAAATAAAAATTTTTGCAATTTCTTTCTCAACCATTTTGTAGAGCTATAAAAAAATAAATAATTGAGTATATTGAAGCGCTGTTTTATGCCTAACGGTCACAGAGAAAATTCAAAAAAAGTGTAATTTAAAATTCCCATTTTATTCTTGTTTACTTGTTTATGGATATATGTTAATAAAATTTGGCAAATTTATTTATTTCATTCTATACTATTGACATACGGTCAAAAACACTTTTTACCTTCCCCGTAGCAGCAAACCTAAGCACTGGTTAAATCTAATCTATATATTAATACGCAAGTAGGTTTCTTTTCACAGTCATAACTCAATAACGGCTTGATGGATTTTAAAGTTTGAGGTGTCAAATTAAAGGTATTTTCACGTAGATGTGCAAATACCTTTCAGAATATTTGGAAATTGCACCACTTAAGTACAGTTAAGGGCTAAAGTTTGGAAGGCGGCGCCATCTGTTGACATTTGATCAAACTCATTTCCCTTTGTTTACAAATAGCATATGGACGTAGTTTGAAATAGTTTTTAAGGTTAACCACAGACTTCAGGACTTAAAACTGCCAGCGCAAAGCTTGAATTTATATTTTGTTTCAATCTGTTAACTAAGTCTGATAATGAAGAGCATCCTATCAATACTAGACAACAAAGGGTTTAATAATAAATATTTAATTCTTTTTAGTTTTTATTAAATTTGACCATAGACTGCAGGACTTATTTATTCCAGAGCAAAGCCGGAGTTTTATATTTTTATCTAATCATCTGTTAACTAAATCTGTTTCTTAAATAAAGAGTTTCCTAGCAAGACTTGACAACACATCTATATATTTAATACACAGTTGTAACACTGTTTTCTCAGTAATTACTGGACCGATCCACAAGTTCTATGTGTCAAATTAAAGGGGATAATACATAGATTTGCCGAACCTCATTAGAATTCACGTTTTTTAAGCGTTAAGACCTACAGCCCTTCAAAGGTTGAGTCAATACAATTCTTATCTCACAAGCACAAGCAACTGTGTTCACACTGGGCTACTTTACACGCCTACTCTCTCAAAAGCTGGCGAGTTGGCGTGTAAAGTAGCGGCAGCGTCAACTTTTTCCAGAGCTTTTTTACAAGCAGCTTTTGAGCGAGTACGTCGTTTACACTGAGCTATTTTACTAGCTGCGTGTAAAAAAGCCGGCGTGTAGCTTGTAAACTCGCCCCGTGTGAACGGGGCTTAAGAAAACCGGCAGAAAATTATAATGCGCAGAACCTATAGCAAAATATGGATACTATCTATCATGCGTGCCTCTGAAGAAACCTAATCTGGACATGTCCCCACAAAAAGTTAGGGATTCCCTTGCTCTACGTTATGGGAAAACACCAGTAAACCTCCCATTAAAATGTGAAGGATGCGGAAATGAGTTCAAGAGGAGCATGCTCTGAAATGTCCCAATGGAGGTCTTATAATTAAAAGACACAATTAAGTAAGAGGCACGATAGGTAATATGATGGAACAAGCCTGGGGAAACTGTATTAAAGAGCCCTTGATAGCAGAATGCAGTCATCTAAACGAACCTGCACTAAAAGCTGATTTAGCTTGTAGAGGCGTATGGTAGACTCAGATGGAGGCATTGTTTGATGTTCGTATTGTTGACACTGATGCTCCATTTTATGTCTCCATCCCTCATTAACAAGTTATAAAAAAAAACAGAAGATGAAAAAAGTAAGTGTACAAAAGCTTGCGAACAACGGCATGCATAATTTACTCCCCTTGTCACAAGTGTCGATGGGAATTTGGGAATGAATTCCAAATGTTTTAAGGGATAAGGCTGAAACATTATCAGAAAAATGGATCAGTTTATAAAAAAAATATCAGTAAATATCAGTTTAGTAATCAATTGGATACGATCAAGAACAATTTGTGGAGTTTTTATGGCAACCAGTTTGTATATGAGACGAACTAGAAAGAAAGAAATTACGGTCAGCGAGGTAATTTGAAGATGGTGCTGGGATTCCAAAATCTTGTTAGTGTAAAAATGAATTGTTAAATTCTTATTGTACTCTACTCTTTTTTATGAAATTCTCATTGTAATAAATTTTCTTGAATTGTTTTAGTCATGGAGACAAGGTGGAAAGTGTCCTAGGTCGGCAGGAGCCGCCCTCTTATCCTGACATGGGGGAGCTCCCTCGACATGAGCGATGATGGAAACATCACAAATCTGTCAGAATATCGTAGTGAAGAATCCGAGAAGGTATGCTTATTGGTACAATGTTGATGAACGTTGAAACAAGGGTCTCCGACCTTTTTTACTCAAGGGCCACATTGAAATTTTTTTGGAGAAAAAGCGGGCCTGGACCGTTTACATTTCAGTGTAGAAAGGAAGCCCCCCTCCAAATAACCCACAAAGAGGTAGTTTTCTAATTTTAAGCTTGGCGATGAAGTTTGAACATTTCTTGCTGATTTTATGTTGCTATATAACCTTTTGATTAACTCAAATTCTGTACGTTTTTAAACGAATGATACTGAGACCAAAGAAAATAATTGACCTACCTCACATGATTGTTTATGGGTATATAAACTGTGTTTGTCATATTTTTACTTTGTTATAACATAAGTAGGCTTATGATTTTTCGAATTCATAAGAAAGCTAATAAAGTATAAATTAATTTTACATTATATTTACCTTGACATTTACATTGGTATTTTTGTTATGATGGAAGTTTTAAAGTAGGACTCGTGAAAAAACAGGATGACACAACACTAAATATTTTTGATGTACAGTACTATTAAGTTTACTCGATTGAACATTTAATTGTAATGACGATAAGAATAATTGACAATGAGTTTACAAGGAGTCTAAAGCTAAAACTAACAGCGATTTTTTGGGAGTATTTTCTATTTGCCGCTTTAAGGTCAGCTTTAAATCAGGGTTAAGGTATGTTGTCTTGGTCCTTAGGATTGTTTTCAATTAAAGGGTTCACTTGGCTTGGATGCTTACAGCTATTTTTTCTTATTGGGAAAAACGTAGAAAGTATGAGATATGTGTACTATACACATACTAGCTTACCCCGTTACGGCATTGCTCATGCTCAAGAAATGTTTAGTTAAACATGTGTCTCCTTAAGTTTAACTGTGAGAGAACTTCTTTATTTAGAACATTAACTGTCCTACTAGGAGCTTTGGACTGCTGACTCTGAAACCATCTACATAATATTTTTTGCCAGAAAACAATTTCCCTGTAGCCTATTTCATTTCACGAAGATTACATGTTTAAACCTAATTTTCCTATACTGCTGTCAGATCTCCTATAACTTTATTGGAAAGTTTGTGTTTCTTGAGGTAACAGTATTTAACATAAAAACCTTGCACGATGTTTTATTGGGGTTCTTATAACCCTCAAAGGCCCTAAAGAGTTGCAGTCTACAGTGTCTACGATGTTTTTACGAAGTGGAACGTACTCACATAAAAGTGGCTTTTCTCGCCCCTTCAGTAAAAGGAATTATTAAAACTTGATATCATACATACATTTCTTCAGGGGAAAAAACATAAAAAGCTAATAATCTATTATATTATTAAAGTGATACAATCAAATTTTATGTAAACGGTTAAGGTCATTTACCAAATAAAAATATAGGCATATGGCACATAAAAATGAAGCTTAGAGTGTGTAGATTTGCCGAAAAGTATTGATATGGACGAATTTCCTAAGGACTCTGCCCCACAGGCTAATTTCCAAAGGGCTACCCCTGGCATATTTCCAAAGTTCAAATGATATAATTCAATTTAGATCATGAAACAGCTGGTAAAATTGGTATTTGTTTATTTACTAGACAAATGAAGATTGAGGAGGGTTATGTTTGGTTTTAAAGAAAGGTTGTATAAGTTTTGTTTAAGTATTGCTCAAAGTTTTCATTTTGTAATTTATATAGTAAGCTACATGGAAAGATGCTTGACTAAAATTGAAGAATTATGGTAAAACATGTCATTCAAGAAGCAGCAATATGAAGAAATTGATGCTAAGGTATGTGTCCGTATGGAGGTATGTTCTTTTTTATCTATTAACATCAAAAGTAGGGGTTTGAAAGTAGGATTACACTTTTAAATCAGTTTATATTTTCAAACTAAATCATAGAGTTGCTGTATTTTAAAACACACATCAGAACCACTTGAATAGCTCTCTAGGTCACATTTTCTTCCCGTTGCAAAGCACGGGTATAGCAGCTTGTTTTTACATAATCCACCACAAACGTGAACTGGGATTGTAAGGCAACATAGGCCTACTCATCTGAAATTGCATGATGTGCCATTTTTATAAGCCTATAGATGGAAATAATTGAACTTCTAAAGCACTTCTAACCTTCTCTCTTGAGGACCCATTATAAATAAACATAAAAAAGTGACAGAAGAAGGCCGATACCATCCCTTAAAATATAATATGGAACTCAATTGCAAACGTACAAATATTTTCATTTCGATTGAATAAATACAAACCAGCTGTTCCCTTAGTTAACAGTATAAAATTAATAAATATTATAGATTTCATCACTAGGGCCTAACACTTATGTACCTTGCATAAACCTACGTACCTGCCATTATCCGACCATAGGAGCAAGCAGGTCTAGTGGTAGAGCGTGGGACTTCGGTCTCCTAGGTTCCGGTTTCAAAGCCCGCCAGGCCTGAAATCACGCACATACGGGGTGACCCCAACTCAAATGATGATAATAATAATACAAAACTTTCAACGGATTGTATCTAAGGAAAAATACAAAAAACTCTAAGCCTAGCCTGAAGTAATGTGAAAACAATCCTAACTTAAGAAGAAGGACTTATCATTGCTATCAAACACTTGCTGTGTACAAATACTTGTCACAAGGAAAATGTTTAGTTTGAGTCATGAGGGAGTAATATTCTCATGGGAAAGGCTTAAGTTGAGAGGTACGCAAGATATGGTTGTCTTAAGCTGGAAAGCTTCTTACAAATGAATCAATTTTTAATGCCAAAAGTGTATCTTGAAACAAAATTGCTCCTTATAGTGTTCGTACCCTATAATATTATATCCACCCCCATAATACCCTTATATCCAATGATAATGTGTACAGCTCCTATAACTCAATACAACATTTGCGCAGGTGGTTGAGTCATCGCCCTACGTTGTATCCATAGCGCTGCCCTTAGTGTCTGTACTGTATCCCCACGATATTGTGTACAGCTCCTGTAACTCAATACAACATTTGCAGGTGGTTGAGTCGTCGCCCTACGTTGTATCCATAGCGCTGCCCTTAGTGTCTGTACTGTATCCCCACGATATTGTGTACAGCTCCTGTAAGTCAATACAACATTTGCAGGTGGTTGAGTCGTCGCCCTACGTTGTATCAATAGCGCTGCCCTTAGTGTCTGTACTATATCTCCCACGATATTGTGTACAGCTCCTGTAACTCAATACAACATTTGCAGGTGGTCGAGTCGTCGCCCTACGTTGTATCCATAGCGCTGCCCTTAGTGTCTGTACTATATCTCCCACGATATTGTGTACAGCTCCTGTAACTCAATACAACATTTGCAGGTGGTTGAGTCGTCGCCATACGTTGTATCCATAGCGCTGCCCTTAGTGTCTGTACTGTATCCCCACGATATTGTGTACAGCTCCTGTAACTCAATACAACATTTGCAGGTGGTTGAGTCGTCGCCCTACGTTGTATCCATAGCGCTGCCCTTAGTGTCTGTACTATATCTCCCACGATATTGTGTACAGCTCATGTAACTCAATACAACATTTGCAGGTGGTTGAGTCGTCGCCCTACGTTGTATCCATAGCGCTGCCCTTAGTGTCTGTACTATATCTCCCACGATATTGTGTACAGCTCCTGTAACTCAATACAACATTTGCAGGTGGTTGAGTCGTCGCCCTACGTTGTATCCATAGCGCTGCCCTTAGTGTCTGTACTATATCTCCCACGATATTGTGTACAGCTCATGTAACTCAATACAACATTTGCAGGTGGTTGAGTCGTCGCCCTACGTTGTATCCATAGCGCTGCCCTTAGTGTCTGTACTGTATCTCCCACGATATTGTGTACAGCTCCTGTAACTCAATACAACATTTGCAGGTGGTTGAGTCGTCGCCCTACGTTGTATCCATAGCGCTGCCCTTAGTGTCTGTACTGTATCTCCCACGATATTGTGTACAGCTCCTGTAACTCAATACAACATTTGCAGGTGGTTGAGTCGTCGCCCTACGTTGTATCCATAGCGCTGCCCTTAGTGTCTGTACTGTATCTCCCACGATATTGTGTACAGCTCCTGTAACTCAATACAACATTTGCAGGTGGTTGAGTCGTCGCCCTACGTTGTATCCATAGCGCTGCCCTTAGTGTCTGTACTATATCTCCCACGATATTGTGTACAGCTCCTGTAACTCAATACAACATTTGCAGGTGGTTGAGTCGTCGCCCTACGTTGTATCCATAGCGCTGCCCTTAGTGTCTGTACTATATCTCCCACGATATTGTGTACAGCTCATGTAACTCAATACAACATTTGCAGGTGGTTGAGTCGTCGCCCTACGTTGTATCCATAGCGCTGCCCTTAGTGTCTGTACTATATCTCCCACGATATTGTGTACAGCTCCTGTAACTCAATACAACATTTGCAGGTGGTTGAGTCGTCGCCCTACGTTGTATCCATAGCGCTGCCCTTAGTGTCTGTACTATATCTCCCACGATATTGTGTACAGCTCATGTAACTCAATACAACATTTGCAGGTGGTTGAGTCGTCGCCCTACGTTGTATCCATAGCGCTGCCCTTAGTGTCTGTACTGTATCTCCCACGATATTGTGTACAGCTCCTGTAACTCAATACAACATTTGCAGGTGGTTGAGTCGTCGCTCTACGTTGTATCCATAGCGCTGCCCTTAGTGTCTGTACTATATCTCCCACGATATTGTGTACAGCTCCTGTAACTCAATACAACATTTGCAGGTGGTTGAGTCGTCGCCCTATGTTGTATCCATAGCGCTGCCCTTAGTGTCTGTACTATATCTCCCACGATATTGTGTACAGCTCCTGTAACTCAATACAACATTTGCAGGTGGTTGAGTCGTCACCCTACGTTGTATCAATAGCGCTGCCCTTAGTGTCTGTACTATATCTCCCACGATATTGTGTACAGCTCCTGTAACTCAATACAACATTTGCAGGTGGTTGAGTCGTCACCCTACGTTGTATCAATAGCGCTGCCCTTAGTGTCTGTACTGTATCCCCACGATATTGTGTACAGCTCATGTAACTCAATACAACATTTGCAGGTGGTTGAGTCGTCGCCCTACGTTGTATCAATAGCGCTGCCCTTAGTGTCTGTACTATATCTCCCACGATATTGTGTACAGCTCCTGTAACTCAATACAACATTTGCAGGTGGTTGAGTCGTCGCCCTACGTTGTATCCATAGCGCTGCCCTTAGTGTCTGTACTATATCTCCCACGATATTGTGTACAGCTCATGTAACTCAATACAACATTTGCAGGTGGTTGAGTCGTCGCCCTACGTTGTATCCATAGCAGTGCTCCTAGTATTCGTGCTATCTCCCATGATATTGTGTGGCAACTCTCTCATCCTCACTGCCCTGTACCGCTTTAAACGTCTGCGTACACCCAGCAACTACTTGGTAATTTCTCTGGCCACCTCTGATCTGGGTGCTGGGTTGTTCCTCCCTCTGGGCATGTACCTGGAGCTGACCGCTGAACATGGTCTTCCCTCAAGCCTCTGCGTGCTGCCTTACTGCTTCGGCATTTTCACTTGTAGCGCATCGGTTAGTTGTCAAACGATCTTTTCTATTAAGTGATAGTCCATGGTATACATAGTCATTTGTCACATTAGAGACGTAAAAGATGTTTAATATATAATACTTTGTTTGTCAATTACCTCTCTAAGACTGATATATGATGTTCTTATTCATATTTACTGATCTTTAAGCTGATTATTAATCAATAGATCTTAGATATAAAAGATTTTGTGGTATTCAAAAGAAATTACAGGACACCTAAACGCTTCGTAGAAACCCATTGTTTCTGTTCTGCGCTGTCTACAGCCCATGTGCTCTCATTTTACTTGGTAACTAAACTCATCTGATTGATTTTGATTTTGATTCTGGGGAATGATTAAGTATATATGTAACAATTAATATATGTTGATAATATATGGTAGTTTTTATTGCATATTGTATGCCGTGGGTGCAAAAATATTCGACACTCACGGTACCCATATGCTTCAAAACTATTCTTAACACTTTAAGAACAATCATGGGCAAATGGGAGATACATGCACAATCACGTTATGCATGTCTCCAAGAGCGTGCAATATAAATATTTTTTAATTGAACACTTTATCAACTACCCTGGGCGGTACTTTTGTGGTCATACTATGCTTATTAGCTGTACGTTGCATTGACAGACTGATAAAAGAATGTTGTTGTGTTACACATAGGTGATAGTGATGGCTGCTATTGCTGTGGACCGCTTTACCTCTCTAGCCCAGCCGCTGCGCTACAACAACCTCATCACCCACAGAAGTATGGAGCGCTACATCCTCATGTTCTGGCTGTACGCGGGCCTTGTCGCTCTCTCACCTCTCCTGTTCTCTCAGTACTCCAGAGCTCCCGTCCCAGTCTGCGCCTTCAAGGCTGTCATTCACAAACCCGTCCAGTTGTTTCTGTTCTGCGCTGTCTACAGCCCATGTGCTCTCATTTTACTTGGTAACTAAACTCATCTGATTGATTTTGATTTTGATTCTGGGGAATGATTAAGTATATATGTAACAATTAATATATGTTGATAAGCTGAGTTTTCATCCAGGTTATAGGGCATAAAGTTGATTTGGTATATACCTGATAAAGTTTAATTTTAGACTGATAGCTACATTTGTTTATTTTAAATTATATCAAACTAGCAGTACCCGCGGGCTTCGCCCCGTTTAACTTCATAAGTATTAAAAATTACTATCTCCACTAAGCCTATGGTTATATTGGCTCTATTCATGAAAAAATCTGCTCAATTGGTCAAGTCGTCGTCCTGTCCTAATGTAGTTTTATGTCAATGCTCGTTAATTTTTCAAGATAAGCTCGTTCGCATGGCTCAATCAAGTTCTGATTGAAGTTCGTTTGCTACGCTTACTCACCTTTAGGTTGGAGCTCGTTCGCTGCGCTCACTTGCCTTCAGGTTAGCTCGTTCACTACGCTAACTCGCCTCCAGGTTGAAATTCGTTTGCTACGCTCACTCACCTTTTGGTTGCAAGCTGTTGTCATAAATGTAAATAAATAATAGTGATGCACCCTGTTGATAAACCTATGAACTCTTTAATGCTATTGAACATCACAGAATCAACTTGTTTAGTTGAACCAGCTGTTAAGATTCTTTAATTCCATTTAATAAGAGTACTCATAAGGTTAACATGGGAAACTCCAGAGCCACTAGGGCGAAGCCCGAAAGCCCGATCAGAATAAAACTATTTAGTTTTCCTATTTAATGTCCAAACAATCGGTGTACCGAATTTCAGCCTCCTAGGTAAATGGGAAGCCGGAGAATTAGTGATGTGAGTGAGTGAGTGAGTCAGTGAGGGCTTTGCCTTTTATAAGTACAGATATCAAACAGCAGGTACTTCAAATCTAACGACACAATATAAAACACCAAGGCACATATGATCAATAGAAGGCATAATTTCAAAGGTGTAGTACCCGGGGACCGAGCCATGGCTCGGTGTAGTAAAAGTTTAAAAAGCAACCCATAAGACTAATGTTAAAAAGGTTTGACTTTAAATTTCATTTCTTACGTAATTAGATTTTTGTTGGCAGTTTTTCACTACATTAGACACGTTTTAAAGCCAGAAATTAATCTTACATCATTTGAAGGAAATCGTCGAAGCCATTTTCGAGATCTATATTGAAACCAAGGATAGCGTTTTCTTTAATAATTGAGACTTTTGAAAACAAAAACCAAACCAAAGATTTTCGTGTCAACTGTCGATATTGGCTTCGATAACTGGGAGATGGATCCCCAAAACCATAAAATATTACTAAATGTGGCTAGTAAAACTGTTCATTTTGTATTATAGTACTTATTTGCTTCCCTTAAGTTTCATCACAATCGGATGGTTGTTTGGTAACGCATAAAGGACAAACATTGGCAACACACGCAAACAGAGTGCCTTTTTTAGACTAAAATGTCGTGTACAGGCATATCCATCTTGACAAATAAATAATTTGATTCTTAGTTTGTTCAAATATTAAAGTATGTTGTTTTAAATTTCGAGATTTTAAGGAACTTATGTCCATAGTTATATATTAATGCTTGAAGAAAATAATTACTGTAAAATCAACACATATTTGAACGTTGCAGGATGCTACTGTTACATATACGTGGTGGCCCGATACCACGCCCGGGCCATCTACACCGTGGAATTGTCTCTTCGGCAACAGGACTGCTCACACACCCGCTACGGTCAAACACTTGCGATCACAGTGGGCCTCTTCATTTGTCTGTGGATGCCCTTCCAGGTACCTAGCTGGAACATACAAACTGACGCAGCTAACCTTTAAAAAGAATTGCGTACAAATACTTTTCAATTATCAGGGAATAGAACAGCTAAAGAGTTTTTTCGTTTCCATAATAGTACAGTAAAAATATGTTTTGACCCCAAAAAAATTAGCACAAGCAAGGAATTTGGTACAGATGTTGGGTGTACATTCCTTTTGAACATACTAAAAGTCCCCAATAATTGAAACTGTGCTACAGCCACCAAATTGGAAAATGGCGGAATATTTCTGTATTTTAGGCTATAGTTGTTTAATAATTAGAAATACAGGAAAAAGCTTAGTATAAAGAATATAGTCCATCTAAAACTTCACAGTTTTGGTATTATAATTTTTCTCTAAACCCAACGGTTTTTGAATTATTTGCGATAAAGTAAAGTTAGTTAATTTTATTTATCAAAAATCTGTGAAACCCATCGAAATCAATGGTTACTTTCAAGGTTTACATCAATTATTCATCCCAATCAGTTAAACAGAGTGATATCATGGATAAAACATTCTCCCATAGATTTCTCATCCTCATGGATCAGCCAAATAATTTTAATGTTAGTTCTGTCCGGTGCACTAGTAGAGGTCGTAATTTGTTTAAAATTTGTCTCTAGTTACTTCAGTAATTGAAAAGCTCGTTAAACGAAATAAAACGATAGACACAAAAGTTTTTTTTCACTATCGTTCAGTGTGACCAACATGAACTAGACACGAAAAACGACCTTCCAAATTTACAATGGGATGTCAAGTCTACTACTTGTGTTAGTTAGTGTGGCGGTACCATCAAAATATTAAAATGTAACTTTATTTAATGGGTACAAAATGAGGATAAAATATTAATATGATTATTGCGTACTTCACAAAGTGTAGTTGATTACCTCACTTCATACATACAATAGTTCCGGTTCTTGGTACGAGTTAATATTACTTAAAATTACTTGTTCCATCTCCTTTTGAAAACCCCTTCGGTTAGTATTTGGATCGTGACGGTGAATTGCCATCTATTAAGTAAACACAACCACAATTTGTAAATTTAAATTTGTAAAAAAATTTAATTTTAAAATCCCATGCTATTCTTATGAATAAGTAAACTGCTGCAATTTGCTTGTTTGTAGATTTATTTTGATCAAACCTGGAAAATTTGTTTATTTTATACTAAGATATTGATATCTTACAAAAAAGAAACATACTATATTACCCTCCCTGTAGCAGCAAACCTTGGTACTTTTTAAACCTAATTTTGTTTATATGCATTTAATCAAACATTCAGTCAGTCAAATGGAAATTTGTTGAGTCTGCAGGTTTGCTGTGGTAGATTTATTTTACTCATTAAATATAGTTAAATTTTAAGATGTTATAGTAATCACACTATTTAACGAAATGGGATGAATTGTCAAACACCTTGAATTTATCCGTCGATTCCGATGGGTTTCGCCTATTTTTGATAAATTAAAAAACTAAATATACTTAATCACAAATAACTAAAAAACCGTTGGGTTTAGATAAAAACGGTAAATACCAGAAATGTGTATTTTTAGATGGACTACATTTTGTACGGTTAGATTTTTCCTGTATCTTTCATAATAAAGCAACTATAACCAAAAATACAGAGATATGCCTTTTCCAAAATGGCGGCCGTGGCCTAGCTTCAATTTTAGGGGACTTTACTTAACATCTGTACCAAATTCCTTGCTTGTGCTAATTTTTTATAGGTTTATGTAATTTTTGCTTATTTTTACTGTACTATAAAGGAAATCTGACATTATGAACGAAAGTTAACATTGTTTGTCTTGGAGTTACAACATCATCCAATTTACTTATTACCTGAAGAGCGGCTAAACTAAATTCTTTTCAGACAATTTGAATTTTTTAAACACAAATGACGTGAAATATCTTACTCCACATTATTAAGAACGTAATCAAGCAGAAGCATTTCACGCAACTTCATCCAAAACTGTATCGTCTGTTTGATTGACAGAGACTTGAGAAATGCTGAGAGTGCTATCTAGACCACTTCTAGGTGTGCTACGGACTTGAAATTTCCCCGGCTTCTTGGTGATGGCCTTTCACCCCTTCCTGTATCGCACTGTATCGTCTGTATCGTCTTTAGAAATCATTTAGTATGTTTAAGGTGTTTAAATGTCTGACAAATCCTACTTTCCAGGGGATGATGCTGTCCGACTTGATCACCGGCAGCTCCAGGTTGGCAGGGTGGACTGCGATATTTCTCGCTCTCCCAATCTTCGCGAGTTCCGCGGTCAACCCATGGGTGTACGGGTACCGCAACAGTGAGGTTCGCAGTGCCGTACAGCGAGTCCTGGAGGAACTGCTGGGCTCTATAGGTCTGGACAGTCCACAGTACGTGTGCCCTGAGCTGCTGACTGCTACAGGCCCCGGTGATCACGCCGAACTCAACAGCTTTGCCTCCCACGTTCGACTGTGTGCCGTGTCTCCCATCCGCTGCACCTCCCTCCTGATACCTCCCAGTCGCGGCTCCGAGCTCACCGAGACCACCAACCGAGGACTGGAACCCGAGGACGAGCCAGTCAACCTCACGGCCATCCTGCAGGAGCTCAACTCCAAGGATTGAGACGCTTTGGACGGTTCATCCTATTTTCGTCACTTCTACAGTGACGCAACCCGTGCAGAGCTATAGGATTACGCAAAGGGAAATTGTCATTTAAATGCGAAATGTCCAATAAATTGGACATTGGAATAGCCAATAAAATAACAGCATAAAGGAAGCAGATCAATCAGAAGATTTTATTAGTACATTAAACGTTAATCCTGCATTAGGGATTCAGATTCAACAGTGGTGAATCTTTTGTGATGGTAAAATTTTAACCCACTACATAAGGTTGAAAGGGTTATTGTTGGTTTGACACTTGCCTATAATCAAATATGTCTAAAAAGGTATTTCACCTTAAACACCCTAAAAGGTGTTTTCAACATAACGTTAAGACTTTTGAGGTATACAATGTTTAATTTTATTTTGCAATATTTTAATAATGTTACTGCAAATTTACATCACTAGAGGATCTACAAAAAATAGCAATCGATTTTAAACTAACTTCCTGATGAGCTAGAGACTTGAAAGAGTGTATGTATGTTTAGTAGATTTTCGTCTCCAAGCCAGTTTCAGTGTAAAATAATTTTTTTTATCAACCACGAAATCATGCTTAGTTTGTCAAGTGGTAATAATGGTTTTTGTTTTTATTAAAGGGCAAGTGGATTGAAACGGAATATAATTTATAAGTCCTGGGGAATTGGAGCCAAAAGTCTGCATTTATCAATCTTAAAATATATAAATTAATATCAATGAATAAATGAAATAGTTATTTGTGCAACTAGTGAGAAAAGTGAGCAATTGACTCACTCGAGAGAAATCCTTACTCACGAGCCGTAGGCAAGTGAGGAATGGTTTCTCGAGTGAGGCAATTGTACTTTGAACTCGAGTTGCACATTATACTTTTCCTACAGTTACCATAAAAAAAAAAAATGGTGAAGAAACATAACCTATTTTTACACAGAAGTGAACATTTAATATAACATTTAATGTGAAGTGACAAATACAACAGTACAACAGCTGACCAGCTGATTTACAGCCAGTGCTGCCAACGTAATTCGCGCGCATACGACGTTGCCTGCATGTTACGCGCTCACTATTTCGTGCCTTCACGTTGCAAATCTGGAGTGAGACAAAGTAATTAGAGTGAGACAATGTTAACATTGTCTCAATGATGAGCGAATTGGCCACTTTGCTTTCTTAAATCAGTGAGAGAACATGTACATTGTTAGGTAACTGTAGGAAAAAGTAATTTTACTTTACTGTAATAGTAATTTGCGTAACTCGTAAATATTTTAATACTACGACGAGGTAGGATAAGGATATCGTTCAAATTGCGAAATTGAGGTATAAGAGGTAAATTATTCACACAATGAAAAAAGTTATAAATAAATAATTTAGTTCCTCTTGATATTTTTTCTGTTTCTTTGTCGGTTCATTTAATAGAATAATCTATGCCGAAGCATGTTTATTGTTTAACCAGATTACATTTGAAATTAGATTTTATTATTGTCCGTTGCAGTCTTTGGCTCCATGGAAAAATAATTCATTCAAGCTAGGCCAAAATATATTTGTTATCTTTTGTTTAGGTTTTCTTTTTAATAGAACATTATGCTAACTTTACTGCCTTAAATAATTTTTTAGTTTTATTTTTACCTAGTTGTCTCGTATCCTTAATCCGGTGTGTGCAAAGATTTCTTCAGGATTTCCTGTATTTCCTTTTCCGCGGAAGTTTTTTTTTTACTTGTACGGCTAGATAGAGCTCGGCTTCCGTGTGAGTTTATTTTACAACACTCTTTTCCAACTACTATATGTACAAATGTGTTATGCCGAATTCTTCATCCTGTATGTCCGTACCTATGGTTGTGATGGTTGAACTAGTTTAGATATTTAATGTTACTTTGAGTTGTTAATAAAGTTTGTAAATAGAGATGATCCATCAAAAGTTAGGCCTACTTCTATGTTTATATTTTTATACTAATTTTATTGCATTTTTACTGCCACCTAATGTAAAACTCGATAATTTAATGTTGCAAAACCAAGGTAAATATATTCAAGTTAAATGGAATGATCCAGACTAAATATTTTTAAACCCTTGTGTTTCAATTTATGATTTGTTTTTTCTTAAATTAGAGATTAGGATTATTCAGAATAAGACATATTGTAAAATCATTGTTAGGCTATATGTACTATTCTACATAATTACTAACATAAATAAAGTTTCCAAAATCAAATTTATAGAAATAGCTTTCTGAGTTTGGCTATCCCTATTTTTTAAAAGTTTTTATTAGCTCCCTTTCTTGTCCGGTACATGTTTTGCAATCAATTTTAAACTAACTTCCTGATGAGCTAGGGACTTGAAAGTTAAAACATAGCTCAAAAATGGATGACAATGCAATATTAAATCATTTTATTTTCACATTTTCCTTGGACTACACCCCATGGGCTTCCAAATATTCAATAATTACAATTTGGAAGAATTTATATCTATATTGTTAAAAGAATTTGTTGGATTTTTGTTTACAGCAAATTGACCCCTAAATTATTTGAATAGGCATACTAGCAGTTACCCGGCGCGCGTTGCTGCGCTTAACAACTATTATTTTTAATGGCAATTTGTTCTTTACGATGAATAATAAAAGTGTATAACAAAAATAAAAATAGAATACTTAACTTAATTGGCAGTGGATAAACAATGTTTTTGTTTTTTTATTAGGTGTATAAATATATAAGTTTTTAGGCGTACATACCATCATACGTGAGCACGCAACATACAGCTGTCCGTGTGAAAAGCAAGCATTTTAAAAATTTAAACCGACGATAGTCACATATAAAAACATGAATTTGGTAGAGAAGGTGATTAGGGGAAAGGGTGATTTGTAGTTATGTCAAATGGCTAGGGTTCCCAAGTAGCCAGAACTCATGGATTTCCGCAAAGGATGTTGCCATTTCACCACGTCACCACTTGAGACAAGAAGAGGTTCAGCCCACGGCCGGGAGGGCACCCGAGTTCGCGTGCAAACCCCGCACTGTCAAAGTCGATGATTTTGAAAATATATATGGTAATGGATGGGGATTTCAAATGTTTTAAAGAGTTGTACAATAGTGTTGAACATTTGTATAGGCTTGTATAGGCCGAGAGCAGGATTTAAAAAAAATGGCTAAAAAAAGCTCACCATGTTATTCTTATGGGGAAAAACGCCCCAAGTGCCGTCATATTGCCATATTGCCCCTAATTTACATTTACACCTGTATGGGTCAATAAATGAAGGAATTAGCTTTTTAAGCTTGATTTCGAATATATATATATTGGTAATAAGTGAGGATTAGTAATAAGTATAAGGTTTGACAATTACATAGGGATATGTAGGCAAAGATCAGGATTTTTTAATAAAAACTGGCTAAAATGATCCCCATGTTATTCTTATGGGAAAACGCCTAAAGTGACTTATCTCAGCTATATTGCCCCTACTGAAATGTTAATAGTTTAGTATAAATAAATGTATTTTCCAAATTTATTATACCAAATTATGCAAATTTACAATTTGGGAATTTTAACATTGAAATAGATTAAGCCACAGAAGAGGTTTAGTTTTCTTCAAACTTCTGTAAACTGCAATTAATTAATCAATCAATCTGTTGTAGAAAATGCATGCAAACTTAACAACCAATTTCAAAGATGGCTTTGCAAACGTGTAATTTTGGCCCCTACTTTGTAGTTCGTTTAAAAACGTGGTATTTTAAAATAGGATATTTCGTACAACTATGGGTGAAAATGAGGTTTTGCCTGCTCGAGATAGGTTTGAGTTTGAGACGAAGTCGAGGACTTAAAACGGTCGAAAACTGCAAAACCATTTCAGTACGTGGTACAAACGCTTTTTTCACCACACTATACCCTATTACTACTTTGCTACTATTCACCTGTAAGGGTTCATAAAATTCGTGAATATTTATAATCAAACTAAACCCTTACTGGCAGAATCGCCTCGCCAATTCACCGACGTTAAGTTTCAAAATGTAAACAAAATAAATTAGCAGATGACACAAGTTCAGCAACAGCTGATCTTGTGGTTCACCGCCGTGCCACCGGGCCGCGCATGAGTCGCCCGCGCCTGCGCAGGAACCCCAGCCACAGCGCTGGATGTGCGCGGCGCTCGGAGAGACAGTGAGTCGGGGTCGGCGAGAGTCGACAGTCAGCAGGAAGCAGGAGCAGTGGCCTGAGCAATTAGGCAGAAGAAGGACGCCCGACCCTACACTCTCGCTCACGCCAAGTAAGTGGACGACATTCGCCATTCGCCGTTGTTAATATCCTAGGGCGCCTAGGATAACTCGACCTCACTCGCTATCGTTTATTTCCTGTTAATTAATTACGCTATTTAAGTTAAACGTCCGCGGGAAGTTTAGTCTTAAATTTAATTGAATAATTAACAGAGATCGCTTTATTTAAACTTGTGATTATTCTCAAATATCGTTTTACTATAACATAGAGTGTTATCTGCTTTGTTAAAATAACTTTGTAAATATATAACGATCAGCTTTGATTTGTGGAATATCTTAATTTCGTTCGATACATATTTTAGGGACCGTGAGTTCAAAGAAGTAACGGTCAGAACGAGATCCGCCCGGTTGTAATTACTTTCTGTTTTAATTGTGTTGTTTTATTTGTATTGTTTAAATCTATTCGGTTCCGGTCACGCAAGGTGGCTTTTCATATTCGTGTATTTTTGTTTGTTTTGTTTATCGCGTAGGTCCGTGAGAACACGGTTAAATATAATATAATGTGTGGTGTTTAGTTGTTAGTCAATGTTTAGCTGAATTACTGTAGCAGCACTTCAGCTGTGAGATATTTTATCTATAGGAATAAGAGTAAATTCATAGTGGATTTATTAGAGTGATTTTAGTACTTGGTTGGCTTCTTTACTAACTAACACGATTTAATTTGTTTGTACATATTTCAGAACTACACTAACCATTGTAGCTATTCATTATCTTTTACACTAGAACCAGTGCACAGTAGTTATGTTCTATGTCGTTGCTTAGCCGCTATTAACTGTTAATGTTCTAGGTAGTTGCTTTACTATTCTTTACCATATTTACCACTTCATTATTAATTATTCATTTAGCCTTCCACTAATTATTGATGTGTTGAACGATATGCATTTAAATATTCTAACTTATGATACGACACCGCTACTAACACACTAACCTTAGAAATTGCTTCAAATCTTAGCATAACGCTTAACCTTTGCTTAACCTTTGACTATTAACGCTTAACTAAGGCTTTGGGGATTCGTATTGGCTTTGGGAATTTTAATTCGCCGTGACGTTAGACAGTTAAGCCCCAACTTCTCTTTCCATTCTTTACCATTTCCTTGATTCCTGGACTGTTGCTAATTGAGTGATCTGTGTGTTGTATGTGTTGTGTGTGTGCAGCTAACTGCTTTGGTTAGCTGTAGTTTACTAAGTAGCTTTTCTTCTTTCTCTATTACTTCGGGCACACCGGAAATAAGTTAGATTTAATTAGCACTTAAGCTCTTAGCTATAAGTCTCCTACTCTGTCACTTTATGACTATGAATGTTTGTTGCTTGCCACAAACTTTTCTTTCTTCTTTCTCTATTACTTCGGGCACACCGGAAATAAGTTAGTAATAAGTTAGCTTTAACCTATTCCGGAAACCCCGGAAATAAGTTAGTTATTAGCTAGATTTAATCTATTTCGGAAACCCCGGAAATAAGTTATTTATAAGTTAGCTTTATTTACTTCGGGCACACCGGAAATAAGTTATTTATAAGTTAGACCTAAGCTATCCCGGAAAATCTGGGAATAAGTTAGTTTTTAGTTAGATTTAACCTATTTGAAATAAGTCTTTGTGTGCTCAACCTGTCTGTGTGTGTGTGTGTGTGTCTCGTATGTTACTCTTTCTATAACGACCCTTCTCCGCCCTACTCTGTATGTTCGTTTGCACCTTTCCATATTCCTACTCTCTCACGGGGCTTTGAACTAGTCCACTCGCCCGAAACGCATTGTATTATTTTAAATAATAAAGACGCATCTAAACTAATTCTGCTCGGTCCGTGGCGCATGGACGTAGGGTATTAAATTAAATAAATAATTAACACTCCACCGAGGAGGTTGTGAACAGAGTCGCGCACGAAGCTATAACTTCGAAACAAAATCTCGCCCTCCCTCTTTTATTCACTCGTTTCCTGGCAATGATGAGGCACGAATAAAGCCAAGAGGCAAAATATTCCCGCCTGAGCCAGGAAAACGACTTTAGGATACAAAAGCGGGAAACCCGACCAAAATTGACCCCCGGAATAACCCAGCTCGGCTAGGCTATCAGGGACGCGTAACGCCCCGACCCGATAAATTAACGAAACACACCCGGAAGTGGGTTACACACCACAATAATAATTCACACTAACAGTCAACAATTTGAGGAATCAACAAAAATAATAATATATAGTTGCTAGGCAGCGGTGACAATAAAAACATTCTATTGCAATGGTATGGATACTGATTGTGTAAGAAAGTAAGCGGGCAACTGATTTTCGGCCCTAAGGATGTAAAAATCTGCTCGGTCACCAAATGACAACGACAGCTTGCATAGTTAGCAATACGGCTTTCGGCTTCCAATAAACGTTTGTAAAACGTCTACATCGTAGTGTGGTGAAATAGTATATTTCATAACAAGAGTAGAAAGTTAGCCATTACATATTTGAGACCATATTTGAAGTGCGAGATTTATCAAGCACTTGAAATTGTCGAGAATACAGACAGGATACCTACTTTCACTCGTGTTAGCGAATTTCCCTATAGGGAAGTAGCTAATACCGTAGGTCTCATGGTAAGACCTAGGCCCGGGACCGATTTACTTTTTCATTTTGATGTCCCAAGAGGCCAAAAACACCATTCGTTCAAATTTTTATATATATATTTATTATATAATAATAGATAGTAAAAAAGAAATACAGAAGAAAAAGATCAATAAACTTATTGAACTTCAAAAAGGTAAATTTAAAAAAATCAACCTTATTCATGATAACCAATTCAACAATGCAGTTCAAAACC